TCACAATGAAGGCTCCAGGTTTGACAAATTATATTATTGGTTGTATGAACATGTGTCTCCTATGGTCAGTGTTGAGCAGTACATTGCTGAGCTCTGATGCTTTTATATTTATAGCTTATCTAATAAATTTGGATTTTGAAGTCAGTTTTTCCAAGGTTATAGATGTTTAGATTCTTATTCCAATAACTCATGTTGTAATGTGCATAAATCAGTCATTATTTTTCCATTGCAAATGACTGGTTAAGGAAATAAGTTTGATTATTGGTGATTATATACAAAGTATCCACAAACATTGCTGTATGATTGAAAGTGCTAATTAACCTGGGGATTTGCCTCTGTGTCCCCACCAGATTTCTGTGGATTTTTTTCATTTCTGATGTCTTTCTTTACCTGTGCAGATTATTTAATGTGCAAGTGATAAATATGTAAATATATACATACACACACACACACACACACACACACACACACACACATACACATACACACACACACACACAGTAAGTCCCCAACTTAACCCCTTGGTGCCGGGTCACGCCGATAGGCGTGTAAACAAACTGCTCGAAAGCTGGCATGCAGCCAAACGAGCCGGCGGTGCGCCAAAGCGCGGCGAGCCAGTGATTCAGGTTGACGTCCTGTACTCGCGCGCTCAAAGTCGGCGTGCCGCCTTTGTTTGCTAGAGCGTAGAGTTTTTTTTTTTTTTTTTTTTTTTTTCCCCCCCCAATTGTACACTCGGCGCCATTGGGTTAAGAACATAATGGGGACCAAGAGGCTGTTTGTAAGTTGATTTGTTTGTATGTTGAAAGTCGGGTCTCCATTACCTTTTTTCCCATTGTGTTAAAGTTTTGTTTACATTAAGAATACTTGTAAATAAATCCCAATAAGTACAACATACCTTATACAGTACCAGACCCTTGAACTATATTCGTGCCCGGGAAATTTGAAGTTTGCTAGCATCTTTCAAACAATTTTTTGGACTTTACTACTTAAAAAATTTTGGGTAAATTTGGAAAAAAGCGTAAACACTACCTTCGACGGCGAGACTAGATTCGTTCGATTTCTATTGTTTTGGTTAGGTTGAATCTGGCTATCGTATCCATCGCAAATGCGGTTTTACGTATATAGAGACCGATCGCTTATATTTCTAAAAATCATAAAAATACCATATTTTAAATTAGACTAATTCAATTATTTCATAAGAAATGACTGTTATTGCGCGTATATTATTGTTGGTCGTCTTTTGTTTGCATTCGAGAATACGGAAACGTACTCGACAGCTGAGTAAACAAGTCGAAAATCTGTAATTTTATCAATGTTTTCGAGATTATCGCTACGTCATTTTATCTGTTTGTGGTATTATCACGTTTGCCGAGTATGGGGGGGGGGATTCCCCAGCCGGGGCTCCGCAGCCGGGTATTAGGGGGCATGCAGACAAACCTATAAAACCTAACCTAACCTCCCCAGAAAGAAGTAATGTTAACCTAACCTAACGGACCCCGAGTGTTTGGGGGTATTCCCCAGCCGGGGCTCCGCCCCGGACCCCGAGTGTTGGGGTTATTCACCAGCCGGGGCTCCGCCCCGGACCCCGAGTGTTGGGGGTATTCCCCAGCCGGGGCTCTGCCCCGGACCCCGAGTGTTGGGGGTATTCCCCCATGCAGACAAACCTATAAAACCTAACCTAACCTCCCCAGAAAGAAGTAATGTTAACCTAACCTAACGGACCCCGAGTGTTGGGGTTATTCACCAGCCGGGGCTCCGCCCCGGACCCCGAGTGTTGGGGGTATTCCCCAGCCGGGGCTCCGCCCCGGACCCCGGGTATTGGGGGCCATGCAGACAAACCTATAAAACCTAACCTAACCTCCCCAGAAAAAAGCAATGTTAACCTAACCTAACGGACCCCGAGTGTTTGGGGGTATTCCTAACCTAACCCCGGCTGGGGTTAGGTTACCCTAACCTAACCCGGACCCCGAGTGTTGGGGGTATTCCCCAGCCGGGGCTCCGCCCCGGACCCTGAGTGTTCGGGGTATTCCCCAGCCGGGGCTCCGCCCCGGACCCTGGGTGTTCGGGGTATTCCCCAGCCGGGGCTCCGCCCCGGACCCTGGGTGTTCGGGGTATTCCCCAGCCGGGGCTCCGCCCCGGACCCCGAGTATTTTCCTTACTTAAAGACCTATTACATTTTTTGGGGGAATTTAAAATAAAACTATCGAACATACCTAAGCAGAAGAGGGACCAGGTTGAGGGTCGTCGGGGTCCGAGTCCGTTGAGGCAGGGGCGACGGCAGGGGCGACGTTTCGTCGCTCTGATTGGGGAGGGTACAGCCGAGCAGCTTCGGTGAGGAATTTGTGGAACCTCAGGTGCTTCGTGTTCTTGATGAACAAATACCGCGATAGATACTGTTGAAAGTATTGTGGCCGGTTCCCAGGACGTTTCACCCACTCCTTAACGTCCCGCCACAATCTCTCAATGTTCTGCGTGTGAATTGACCTGTCACCAGGATCCACAAACTCCTCCGAATGATTAATGACTCGATGGGTGTATCCCTCCTCGTCGAGACCAAGGTACGCTCCCCAACCGTCGCTACAAATGATGGAGCCAGGGAGAATAAATTTCTTAATCAAGGGAACGAGTGTTTCCTTGTTCCTGTTGGGAGAAAGAGGAGGGACCAAAGGAACCAAGAAAGATTTCTTAGATTCCCTCTCAATTCCTCCGAACACCCAGATGTTGCTCAGCTGCCTCCCGCGGCCGTACTTCCTCTTGCCAAAACAGGACTCGTCAATTTCTACGACGACCTCAGGTCCTCCAATTGCTTCTTGATTATTAAGCCAGTTCTGTGTAACCTCTGAGCAGAAGCTACGCCAGTCAACGCTGGTTCTCTCTGCCCAACCGAGGTTTTCAAATACAATGTGGTGGTTCCAAATTTTTTCTAAAAAAAACACAATAAAAACCACCAGATCTGAGGGAGCGACGTGAGCGTTTTCGAGGAATGTCCCCTTATAGTCACTTATAGTGAAGGAGCACTGCTTCCGCCTTTTAGTTTTTGCAATTTTTGTCCAGCGGCTGCAGAACCACCTTCCATCACGAAGCGTGCACGGTAAATTGCAATGCTTGCAATGTACTTGCGAAGGAAGAACACCGTGATTCCGTAGAACTTCCAAGCTAGCTTCGTTATCTTCAAAATATAATTTGATAAGTTTCATGGGCTTGTTGTAACATCCATCACAAAGCGAAGCCATGGTGAGACTGACTTCGAATTTTAATTTACCAAACCGCTCTTTCTTAATATTGTCCATTGATTGGTTGCTTCCGTATCCTTTGTTTCCGCCTGTTTCCCTATTCGTGGAAAAAATAACCGCCAAACATTTAGCTAATCAAATGATGGCACTAGTCGTGACGTCACTGGAAAAATAACACGAATACTACACGTACGATTGACTCCGCGCATGCGCAGTAGCGAAATTGATCAGTTTTTCCTGAGCTCGCGAAGAGGAAAGAACAAGACTAATATATTTTATATTTATTATTTTGAAAATTAAATAGCTTGTTTATGATTCGATTGCGAGATAAGATTATTTAAGAAAAAAGTTTAGAAAATTAAAAAACTTCACGACTGTAAGGTTAGTTTCCCTGGATTTTATGTTTACGCTTTTCTCCAATAATACCAAATTTTGTATGTATGGAATGTTCATAAGTAGAATGTTCTTAAGTAGGGGACTATCTATCTATCTATCTATCTATTTATCTATCTATATATATATATATATATATATATATATATATATATATATATATATATATATGACAGACATTCTCAAGTATGTTGTGCAATTTACTTATTTTCAACTTGTGAAGGAAATGCAAAAGGGTAATGCATTGGACATGTATAATCTTGTTGATGGTAGGTGAGTGAGGAAAGTTTTGCCAGACTTTGAGGCCATGGCATTACTTATAACCCCCCCCCCCCCCTTACACACTTTTTTTTTTCTTCCCCCCCCCCCCCCTTTCTTTCATTTTCTTTTTCTTAACCCATTGCCGATGGGCATGCCATGCCATGCCCACTCTGAGATTACTTGTTGGATTGTTTTTGCACATAGATGGCTACACTTGTACTAAATCACCAATGAGCCAGTCACGAGTACCGCCTGTCTCGCCCATTCACCCTTTTCTTTGATTTACAAAATATTTTACGTTATCGTATTTTGCTGTTACTAATGTTAAAAAACATTATAATAATTGTAATGTTTATAATAGAAATGACGCCATCGATATTCATGGCACTAGTGAAAGATACGTTTTTCCCACCATTTTAAATCAGGCACTAACAGAGCCATCTATGGGCAGACATTTCCCCCCAAAATATAGAAAATAGGCACAGCATTTTCCCCATTTTTTGTTCATTTTCCCTGGCGGCAATGGGTTAAGATACACAAAACCAGAGGCCTTAAATGCTCCCACAGACAAGTCTTAGTGCCTCCCCTCCTGAGTGTATCTAGAAACAGAGAGGCTCAGATTAACAAGTATAAAAATTGATGTGGAATAACATTGTTATAGTTCAAGCATAAAATTGGTTCAATTTACGAGTTGCAGGTATAAACTTCATAAATCCAACCTCGTAGGGAAAAGATTCTATTGGTTGCTTTTCACCTACAAAGAAACCCCCTTTTTTCATTTAATTTTAATATTTTTTTTCTTTTCTTTCTTTATTGATAAAATTCATACATTTATCATTATATCAAGATGCAGAAAACACTTGATGATCACTGCCATTTTTGATGAGGAATTGAACATTTTGAGGATTGTTGCAATATTTTTATTGCAGCCAGGAGATTAGGCCAAGTCGTCGGTGAAGACTTTGTTACTTACATTTTCTTTTCTTTTTCTTTTCAGCCAAAGTTAACAAAAAGCTCCCCATCAGTCACAGAAATTGTCAAACATTTCCTCAAGTAAGTCTGGTGTTGCATTTTCTGTTTGATAAAGAACCCTCATTTGCAAATTCACTTACA